ACATAACAAGACTGGTCCAGGTGTAGTATCTATGGGAAGAAGAACAAATAAAAACTTATATTAATGAAAGAAAGAAATATAAATACACTACTTTTTATGCTAAAATGCAGCATGAATGCTGAGCACCGAATGATAAAGCTGGATCTAAAATGTTAAAGGCACAACCTTGTATTTGGCTCCCTCTAGTGGTGAAATCAAATCAAGCTGTTGAAATCCAGAATAATTACTTTTATTTGTTTTCATCAACTGTGCAGTGAGGGTTCATTGTTTGTCATATTTACTAAACTCAATAGCATAATTTAAAAAAATATTAACATTTAAACATAAGTAGCACTAAATAAATCTGCCTTTTTTTAGTTATTTTTCTTTCATTGAACATGGAAGTCCTCTGATATCCATCAGGGGGACAAGAAAAAAAATGCAAATTTATTTAGAAAAAATATGTTATTTATTTATTTTAATTTTATTATTTATATATTTTTTTCATCAAGTTTCCATTGTGGCTCTGGTTGTTCAGAGTAACAATAAGTTTGAGCATTTCATGAGCCAAAATGGCGCCTTGTGCTATTTAAAGAAGCAGCCAATCACAATCATTTAAATATCCTTGTAGCCAATCAGAAGCCAGCTAGAAGGCGGGGCAAACAGAACCGGGAGGAGCTGTTTTTCTTTTTTTCGGGGTGTTGTGAATTCGTGGAGAGAAGAAGCCTGGAAGTGGGAGTTGTCGAGCCGATTCGTTGAGCGTTTTGTCCGTCTGTTCCCACGGAGTACCACCGACACGCCAGGCACGGCTATGCCCGGGATAGAGAAGCTGCCGCTGGAGGAGGCGCTGGAGGACAGCCCGCAGGTATCCGTTGTTTTCTCCGGAGCCCTCTCAAGGGAAGGCTAACGTTAGCTTCCAGCCCTGCTAGCTGTTTCCCAGCATCTATTAGCGATGCTTAGCCGCTTGCTAACAGCTAATGGGCCTTAAAGTGAACAAATCAGCTGGACGAAGTTCCCACCGAGGTTCCCGGTTCAATGAGAAGTCAGACTCGGACTCATAAWCAGATCAAGTCGCTAAATCTGTCAACTACTTCCGTAGCCGCCTGGCTGATCGTTCCCCCACTTCCCGTGAAAACAGCTAATCACTCGATCAAACGCTGGTGTCATCCCGTGGTTTCTGTTCCTGTTGGATAAAAATGTCGAAKCAAATCCTGTTTAGTGATGTTACTGTATTTACCTGCAGCGAATCCGGGCCAGAACACCTGCTGTGACATCACAGATTGGGGCGTGGTTTAGGCTGCAGCCAGTTTCATACAGAAAATGATTTTATTGGTTTGATAAAAGGGCTAATC